CGAAAATTTTCCCCCCTTTTTTTTGGGGGGTTTTTTGCCCCCCCCCCGGACCCCCCCCCCCCCCCCCCCCCCCCTCTTTTCTAGATTTTCTCGTCTTTCGGCTGTTGAGTAGCCTTCGGCACTGTTGATTTCAAGCAGTCCAGAGCTTCGCGCGCGCTTCTCGCCTAGGGTACGGCTGGCAAGGATACTGCACGAACTTCTTTGTTTCGACCAACGTTTCAGCCGCACACCTGGGCATGCAGTAGGGGCTTGCAGCAGAAGAGCAATACACTGCACCTGGGAGCGGTGTTGTTGTTGTTGTTGTTGTTGTTTGTCGTCGTTCTGCATCACCCTCGCTGGTACGGAGAATCATCCTCTAATGCGTTACAGTTACAGTTTACAGTTACAGTAGGCCTTGGTCTTGTTTGTCGAGGGAGCCAAGGGCAGAGCTACTGGCGGACACATGCCTTGCGTTTGTTGATAGTTTGGATGCTTCGTTGGCGAGTACCCGCGTTGTCTTTGTTCCATTCAAGCGCTTTGTTTCACCTTTTTCCCTCTCTCCGCGCCCCGCCCCTCCCTCTCTGTCGTCTACATTCCTGTCGGCCTAATTTCTTCTTTCTCCGCCGTCATATTCCGTTCTTCTCTCCTGCCCCCTCTCTCGACAATTTACCCCCCCCCCCCCCCCGGGGGTTTGCCACCGGGGTTGGGTTTTTCTCCCTTGGGAACGACGTTTTAAAAAAAACCCCCCCCCCGGGGTTTGCCATCGGGATTGGGTTTTCGTCCCTTGGGAACGACGTTGTAAAAAAAGCCAATTTACTTTGTGAACTCGGGAACCAAGTTACCGTTTGGTTGTTTTTTACCCCGTTTTTTTTCTTTTTTGGGGGGAACCATAATGGGGGGCGAGTAAATTATGTTGGGGGGGGTCGAAAAACCTCACTCCGCGCAACGGGGGAAGATCGCCCCACGTTGTGTTAAAATGGGCAAGCTTCCTCGAGGGAGTTACACAGTGGTTACAACTGTCTCTGGGAGTGAAAGCCCCCAAAAATAAATTAAGTCATACGTAGCTGTCCTCCGTACGCAAGGAAGTAAGCACAAGATGCCCAACACCCTTAACAGGATGCAGCTCACCCTTCATGCGACTCGCCAAATACCTCCCGGGGCTTCGCGCTTGGTGATGTGAGACCCTGGTCCGGGGAAAACCCGGCGTGTTCCTTCCCGGCTTTGTAGGGATGCGAGGGCAATGGTCTAACGACTACCGCATGGACGATTATGAGTACCCCCCCCCCCCCCCCGCCCCTTTAAAAACGCCCTGGATTGGGTGTTCAAGGGTTGTTTTTGTGCGTAGGGGGGGGGGGGGGGGGGGGGGGGGGTTGGCTGCCGTCGTTGTTGATCGTGTTCAGGAAACCATCCTTCTTGCTGTGCCCCCACGCACGACATTCCTCCACGGACTACGGTCTGAAAGTCTTGAACATCTTTGGACGAAAATTCCCTGGGTTGCGTGAGCAGCCCCCAAACTTCTTGCCCTGACCGTGTGCAATATTGGCACCGATCCCCCCTTTTCCGCAACAACGCTCTCAAGTGTTCCTCCTTTCCCCCGTCTAACAACCAACCAAGTCGTTTTTTTGCCAATTGGGTGTTGTTGGTGTGTGTGAAAGGCCCCTGCCGTTGTGATCGTGGAGGACGACCTGCTGTTCTCGCCCGACTTCCTCGAGTACCTGGAGACCAACGCGCCGGTCCTGGAGAGGGACCCGACCACCCTCGTGCTCAGTGCGTGGAACGACAACGGCTACGCCGGAAGGGTGAGTGAGGTAGTGAGGTAGTGAGGCAGCGAGTTGAGAATGGCGGAATGGTTTGGGGTAACGGGTGAGTGCGTGAGTGAGTGCGTGAGTGAGGCAGCGAGTTGACAATGGATGGCGGAATGCAGGGTGAGTGAGTGCGTGAGTGAGGCAGCGAGTTGACAATGGATGGCGGAATGCAGGGTGAGTGAGTGCGTGAGTGAGGCAGCGAGTTGACAGTGGATGGCGGAATGCAGGGTGAGTGAGTGCGTGAGTAAGGCAGCGAGTTGAGAATGGTGGAACGGTTGTGGGTGCTAAGTACTAAATAGAGAAGAAGGCGCTACGCCACCGCTTGATGAGGAGAAAAGAACCCCGCCTTCTGCCCGAGGGTACAAGTGGTTTTGTGTTTGTGCTCCTAAGAACGACCACATCGTTTTTTCGTGCACATGAATGATTCTTGGCGCTAGAGAACACCTGTTATGATGGCCAAGTCCTTGCATGCATTTGTATTTGAGGCCGGAGACGTTGTTTGTAGCCGGAAGTTCTAACCTCCCAGATTCGTAATTTTGGCTGTGGGGAGTTTTGTGAGCACGATGATAGTGTATGGCGGTTAGGTTGCATGAGATGATGCCACGCACACAGCGCTGGACCGATTGTCAATGCCCGATTTTAGTCCACACGATGAAGAGGCTGCCACGACCACTACTGATGCCTGTTCGGGAATTCCCTCGGCGAGACGGGGCGGTTGGTTCCAACGTCGCCAATTTCGACACCGCCATTTTTTTTTTTGCTGGCGGAGGCAACAGACTGAGAGAACAGTGGCGCTGCTGGGATTGTGGTTGAACAGGCGTCGTCCTCGCCTCGAAAGATGAGATTTTTGTAAAACTTGGGGGGAGAATGTGCTCACTTATTTTGTCTTTTTTTTTCTCGTACCATGTCTTTGCTGTGCCCGTTCGTTGTGCGGTTCTGCTAAGGTTTCGGACAAGGCGGAGCTGAAGCGCACCCAGTACTTCCCGGGCCTGGGTTGGCTCCTTACCAGAAAACTTTTCGACGAGGTACACATGTGTATTATAGGCGAACGGGGGGGGGGGGCTTCGTTGAATTATCTCAGACCCACCACTACCTTGTCTGCGGTGCCGCCACCGCCGCTGCAGCTGCTGCTGATGTTGTTGTCGCTGTCGTCACCCAGCAGTATTCGAAGGCAGAGTTCTCCTCGTCTAGCCACCGACCCCCACCACCTGTGCAACCCATGCCTTAGCCGTATTCCCTCCCTTCCGTATGTCGCTATAATATTATGTCAAGCTTGCTCCTGGGTAATACTTGCCGTAGTCGTATTCAGTTCCTTCCCGTATGTCACTATTATATCAAGCTTGCTCGTGGGTAATACTTGCCGCATGTCGCCCCCATCAAGCTTGCTCTTTCTTGTGTGTTTTTTGGCATGGTGAATTGAGTGAGTGCTTGGGTGAGTTTGGTGGCCTTTGCCTTGGTCTTGTTTTGAGGGGACGTCGCGTCTTGAATGTCCCGGCGGTTTTCCAGCAGCGAGGGAGGATCAAATCGCCTGCAGAGAGGAAAAATATCTGGCGTGACAGAATCGTACCCGACGTGATTGTTGCGATGACCTTTTTAAAATGGTCGTCTCATCTGCTCAACGCCTGTCCAAGGATTAATACTACTTCTATTTTTTTCATCACTTGAATGGTTGCTTAATTTTCAAATGATTGTGAAACAATAAAGTAACTTTTTGTGTTCCCAGATACTGCGATATCCACGGCAAGGTCACCACCGTAGGGATAGGCGATGCTGCTCCTGTGCTTTGGTGCAAGCACTTTCCACGTGTAGGCGCCCCCCCCTCTCTGGTGCGGCTTGTGTGCGCTGACACGAAAACTAAAGCGTCAAGCTCTCAACGGCCATTATTCCGGTGATCAAACTGGTTCCTGCTCTCGTGTGTGTATTTTTTGTTTATTTGCTTGTTTGTTTGTCCCCCCCGTGCTGCAGCTTCAAGGTGTGGTGTCGAGCTCGACTGGCTTTTTTCGGGTGAAATAACTGATGTCCCTGCTCTCGTGTGTGTGAATGTGTTTTTTCTTGTTTTTTGTCCTCCTCCCAGCTTGGACCCTGCAATAATTGATGTTCCTGCTCTCGTTTGTGTGTACGTGTTTTTTTTTCTTCTTGTCCTCCTCCCAGCTTGCAATACCCGATGTTCCTGCTCTCGTATTTGTGCATGTGTTTTTTGTCGATTCGTTTTGTCCTCCTCCCAGCTTGGACCCAAGTGGCCGCTCTCGTGTGTGTGAATGTGTTTTTTCTTGTTTTTTGTCCTCCTCCCAGCTTGGACCCTGCAATAATTGATGTTCCTGCTCTCGTTTGTGTGTACGTGTTTTTTTTTCTTCTTGTCCTCCTCCCAGCTTGCAATACCCGATGTTCCTGCTCTCGTATTTGTGCATGTGTTTTTTGTCGATTCGTTTTGTCCTCCTCCCAGCTTGGACCCAAGTGGCCGCGCGAGCACTGGGACCATTGGTTGAGAGATCCAAAGCAGCACCAGGGGAGGGAGTGCGTCTACCCCGAGGTAAGCTCGAAGGAGGCGTTATTTGCCGCATCGAGCACCATTTTTGTTTTTTTGTGAAGATCAAGCACGGGCTGGTCTTGTGTTGTAAATAATGGCCGGGCAGATTCGATCATTTGTTTGATCTGTGTTTTGCTCACTTTGTTGTTGTTGTTGTTGTTGTTGTTGTTGTTCTCCTTCTTCATTTTACGTTTGCAGTAGATGGGTGTGAGAAGGGCCGGCCGCCGTATTCAGGTGCTGGTTTTGTAAACTGCTCGCACCTTCGCACGTGGGATGCGTGTGTACAGCATGTGTTGGCAGTTTGTCTTAGCTGTGTGGGTGCGTTTCGTTGGTCGTTGGTGATGACAACTTGGGCCGTCGTTTGGATGGCGCAGGAAAGGCAGAATGAATGTAGAGTTATTTGTTGGTAATGGCGGTGGTGCTGCGTGTGGCGGTTGTGTTGTTGCCTTGACGTCGAAGCGCTTCTGACTGCTGGCCCCTGATTTTCTCGAGAGTTACCTCTCATGGTCGTGTGGCTGATCCAGCAGATGAGTGAGCGATTCTCCGCGTCAGGCTTGACATCCACAGCATTACCTAAAATGCAGGGCTCGCTCCGTAAACCAAACAACGAAGCAGGCAAAGCATGTGCATGCGATGATTTTGATTTTTCGCTCAAAGCTTGGACAAAAACTCACTCTCCTCGTACGAAGTCTTCCTCCCTGCCGCACCCCTCTTCTTTGCTGTCTTCAGGGCGTAGCCCTCGTCTGGGACGCAGCCTGTTTCGTACGGAACATGACACGCGTTTTTGATCGACAACCTCTTCTTCTCTTGGTCTTGCTGTTCTTGTTTGCTCTCTTTCGTTGATTCGTCGTCGTCCCCGGCTGGACTTGGGGGGATGGTGATTGTGGTGTGGAACGCGCGCGGAAATTTCCCATGGAGAAGGTTCCGCGAACGTACCACAACGGTGTCCGGGGCACGTTCATGGACCAAGCCATGCACGACCAGCTGTTCAAGAACATCGGGTACAACCAAGACGCCTCGTTCTCTTGGAAATCCGCCCAGGTCGGGGGCGGGGGAGGAGGAAGGTGCGGGGGGACGAGTGTCGCCGGCGCTTCTGCTGTGTTTGACCGCGCGCGGTCCCAGCAGCAGATCTGGGCGTGTGCGCCAACAACGCGCGCGATGCCGCTGCTGCTCCATGATCATGTCCTCTGTACCTGGCGCTTTTATTTTTTGCATCCTTGATTTAACACCACCATCAACGCTTTTTGTCACTGTGAGCCGGGAGTCACGTCATGTCATGTCATGTCATGTCGTTTTTGTTTTTGTTTTTGTTTTTGAAATTCATTTGGCCTAGGAAGCCGCCGACGAGTCTGTGTCCGGGCAGAGGCTCATTCGCCTCACGGAGTTTCTATTTACTTTATTTAGGGTGCTGCGTCCCGCGTTTCAGTCCTCTTCCTCCTGCCGCTGCTGCCGCTGCTGCCGCTGCTGCTGCTGCTGCTGCCGATGTGTTGTCGGCTTCACGATGCTACCGCCGCCGCCGCCGCCGCGTCCTCCTCCACCGTGGGCTTGTGACCAATCACATCCACGCATCATCGGCGCATCGGCCCCGGGGGGAGTAGCTCGCCCTGCTATGCGAAGAGCATGACGGAGAACTACGAGCGAAGGATGGAGGCTCGAATAGCAAGTGCCCGACATATCAACAACCTTAATGTGAGGGAGGGGAAGATGGAGAGAATAAGTATTACCCCAGAGACGTAAGAGATAAAGAAGAGAGCTGTGGAGAGACATTTAGAGATACGGAAAAGGTGGGAGGAGAGAGAAGGAAAAGACTGAGACAGAGAAAGAGAGACGGAGAGAGAGAGAGAGAGAGACAATGGTAGAGATTGCAGAATAGGGGGGCAGAGAAAAAGAGAGAAAGGAAGCCAAGCCGAACGGAAGAGAAAGCAAAAACATTTTTTGGTTGACACACCGACGCGGGTTGAGGCAGCTATTAAATGGCTCAGCTGCTTGTCTGAGAGGCCAAGGTACCAACGGTACCAACCGCTTCTTTGGTACTGCTGTAGCACCCTCAGTCACGAACGCGCCTGCCTGCAGGCCCCCTACTTGGTTGCGGCAAACCGCTGGGAAAAGGGGGGG